CCTGAACATGATCGATTGTTCAGGTGAAAATGAGACAAGTCCCCTGATAGCAATCAGTCAAAAGTATGCACAATGTGAGGCAGAATACGGTTCACCTATTTGCCTATCTAAGGTTGATAAGCTCAGTATGAAGGGATGTTCAGAAATTCAATCAACCCAACAAAAACTTTTTTTTCAATGAAAGTGTAAGTTTTACTTTGATAGCTTTTGAGATATCTCACTTGTCTGTGGTATTTCTGCTTCTATTGCAAGGTGTGAACCATAGACTGTATAAAACCTGGACTTAGTCTCAGTGACGTCATCCCCCATTGGCTTCTGAAGCGACTTTCTGAAGCCTTATGTTGACAGTTGGCCATATTGGAAAAGTTATCCTCACCTAACTTTCAATCCATTTTTAATGACAAAGACGTGGAGCAGAAGCAGGCGTTATGTGATTTTTTGATCCAGCAGATGTCGCCCTTGAGAGCATGAAACCAAAACAACTGGCGCTGCATTGTTGTGTTAGCATGCTAATGCTAGCGATCTTTATTATGCTGGTATCTTCACACTGCATGTAAATTTACCTGAAATGAGCGTGATCTAGAAACACAGTTAAGCAGTGAGTACAGTATGTTATTCTTCTTTTCTCTAGTCCCTCAATTAAACAACTTTTATACACGAGGGGAGGAGTCAGCCGGCCGTCCGGGCGATGTAAACAAAGTGAAGATAGGACTCTGAAAACTCTGAAAACATCACAGACAGTGGGACTCGGGTGTTACACCCATTGTAGACAGTTATGACTCACAGAGTTATTTTCAGAGGAGATACTTGATTTCTACATTTAAGTGTGAAAGATCGCATATAAATCCTTTAAGCTTCCTGGTAAAAAGCTACAATGCACCCCCACCTGTCACTCAAACATTGCCTCTTGTAGGCAGTGTTACAAACTTGAAACACAATATTGACTTTTAATGATCTGATGAAGTCATGGCTAATGTTTGCAAACTATTCGAAAACGTTTGTGCTCAACGATTAATTTCTTCTTCACTGCAACTTTTTTGCTCTGTTTTTTTCACCCCACATCTGCTGAGGAATAATCTTCAACAGTTAAATTCATATTTATGTTTAACAGCTATTGGCCAGTCTTCTCTATCCTCTCGTATGTGCTCAGCAGGTATTTATAGTGGTTTTATTTGAAGCTCATTGGTTAGAGGGAGTTTTTGGGTTTAAAAAAACAAAACTATGACGCATTTAGTCAAAAACATTGTCTGGAACTGCAGAGGTGGGTGACAATTACATGTTTATTGATAACTATGATTTGTCGGTTCATAGTAGACATATTGGCTGAGTCTCTTTATTCATTAAAAACAGTATTGACTAGGGAATTTTTGAACTTGTGCCTTGGGATTATATAATAAATGTTCTGCTATCATTACTGTTGAAGCATACATGTTACATTTAATATGAAGCGTGTGAGCAGTGATCACTGATCTGACATTTTTAATTTGAGAACATTTACATTAACTTTTAGACACAAGTGGACTGCTAATTAAAAAGCCAACATCTACCTTCTGCATATCTGTAACCAAAGTTATTTCTATACTGAGCTGTATCTTCAAATGCAAATACTAATTTTCTGGTTTGGTATCTGTATCATTTATTGTGAGCAAGTGTATTATTAAGAGTTTATGCTGGAGTCCGCTGTGTGTGTATGTGTGAGTGTTTGCTGCAACTGGATGAGTTGGGGATGATTGGGGGAGCTAGTCAAATCAAAGTGCCTTAGTCATGCCGCAGGGAAATCAGCTGCTCACAAATCACTCCAAGGGCCGCTCATAAACAACAACCCATGCGGCTGCGGCACAGAATTTCTCTATGTGGGAAAAAAAATGTTGGAAGAAGACCATAAACCCTGCTGTTTACTGCAGGAAAGATCATTTGATCATTAAAGCAATGTCTGCTTTTATTTCAGCACTGTTAGCTCAGAGAATAAACTTTAACTAAGTTGCCTTTTGATTCTGCAGTCTTTGAATATTCATTTCTTTTGTGCTCATGTCATTAGTTTTGTTTTTACATCACACAGATTGAGGTATGAGCTCGATAAACTTTTTGTCTTACTCCTGCAGTAATGCATCACTTTGAATTATAGTTTAAACATTTGGGGATCAGCTTTTCAAAATGAAACCTGCAAAGCTCGAGGCCAACCCAGAATCTTCCCAAAAAAGAAAAAGTTCACAAAGGCGAGCTCATACATCAATTAGCTGTGAGACTGACAGCGTTGTGCTTTGCTGCACTCGGTGAAATATGCTCAGCCGTTCAGCCTGGCAGGGTTTTAAGGTTGTAACACAATTAGTGCCATGTGAGCAAGGGAGCTGGAGTCAGGCAAGGTCTGACAAACAGAGACCTCTGAAACCTCTGGAACCGAGCTGCCATTTTTCTGCCTGCAGGTAAACTCAACAGAGACCACAATTCACTGAACAGTCACTGAACTTTTCCTGTAAACTTCTGCCTCCTTTAAAGTCATCAAAAGGCTTCTGTGAACTTTCACACTGTCAAACAATATGTATAACAAATATAACATGGGGCTGCAATACACCAATGCTGCGTCAAGTGTGCTAGAAGAAGAAATATGACAAGAAACACTTACTGTCTGTACTACTGTAAAACAGAACTAACATACAATTGTGACTCTCTGTTTAAGCCTTAACTCATATTTAAAGGCTTTATATGCGGCAGATGTCGCCCTTAAACACCAGCATGAAACCAAAACAACTGGCGCTGCATTGTTGTGTTAGCATGCTAATGCTAGCGATCTTTATTCTGCTGGTATCTTCACACTGCATGTAAATTTACCTGAAATGAGCGTGATCTAGAAACACAGTTAAGCAGTGAGTACAGTATGTTATTCTTCTTTTCTCTAGTCCCTCAATTAAACAACTTTTATACACGAGGGGAGGAGTCAGCCGGCCGTCCGGGCGATGTAAACAAAGTGAAGATAGGACTCTGAAAACTCTGAAAACATCACAGACAGTGGGACTCGGGTGTTACACCCATTGTAGACAGTCATGACTCACAGAGTTATTTTCAGAGGAGATACTTGATTTCTACATTTAAGTGTGAAAAATCACAAATATAAAGCCTTTAAAGTCAGATTGAGAAATGATTCTGTTGGCAATTTTTTTTTTTAATAATTTGTTATTGTCATCATAAAGCACAGAGACATAAGTTAACACAGTAGTGTGAGTAGTTTTTCCAGTAATTAATCTGCAACATATTAACAATTACCCATCCAAAACTTTTAGTCAGCTCTCTAAGCACAATTTATTTTTTGGTTTATGTCATCACCAGTTGAATGTTGTATATAACTGTTTCCTGTTGTACACTTCACTTAAACACAAACCAGGTTGTCTTGAGTTTTGTACAGTGTTGGAAGTTAGAATCTACCCTTAAGGCCACTAGTTTTGGGGTTGGTAAACTTGACAGGTTATGTGCAGGACAAAAGACTGTTTCTGACTTGACTCAGCAAACAAGGCGGTCGACTTGTGTAATCGCTGTAAGACAATGGCAGATGGGAATATGATAGTGTAGAAACTGCTAAATAGTCTCTAAAATAACACAAATTCCGCCTACATATGCTGCTGTTTGTACCTGGAACAGAACTAGAACATTGCAGCAAGACTTGAGGTAAAGAGAAACTTTATTAACAAGGCTTGTGGTCTTCACCAGGGTCATCTCATTTTGTTAATAAAAGTTGATCTTCATTTCTCCTCTTCAATTTCCTTCATTTTCAACTCTTCAAGCACCTTGGTAGTTGGTGAAGAAGTTTTCCCACCCTGCTTTAATAAGAGTGCAGCATACATTGAATAGCTGTCTCTAAAGGCTCTAAAACACAAATATGGCTAACATTCTTTTTACAACAACAACAGCAACAACAACACAAGGCTTCACTGCTTCCTGTCTTAACTGTTCATACCAAATAAGTGTTTTTTTTAATGCAAACTGTAGTACATGCACAAGTAGCAACTCACTTTTTTATCACTTCCAATCCGAATTGGAAATTCCCATTTCTGAGGAAGATTTGTTGAGAAGATCTTTAAAATCCACTTCTACTGTAAACCCCTCATGTAACTATTTCTCTGTCGTATCGGTGCCTGTGATGAATGAGGCTAATCAGCAGTAGCATATATTGTATTTTAGAACCAGGCACTTAGTACACAAGGCAGTTGCATAACTATAATTCACACAGATTAACAAACTCACAGCAAAATATAAAACACATTTTCAAATTACATCCGCAAGTGTCCCTTTTTTTTAAGCTACATAATATCTGCAAGGTTGTTTTAACTTTGCATATCACCCAGCCCACCAATTACACACACACACAAACACACACACACAAACACACACACACAAACAGACCACACACATATGAAGGACAAAAAATGACTAAAGTATAGATAAATCTATAAATGCTGAAAACAATACATCAATGAATAAATAATAAATACACTTTGTTAATGAAAAAGTCTATTTATATATTTTTACATGTATTTATTCATTTATTAGCGTATTTCTACAGTTATATATGTATCAATACATACATTTCCACATTAATTGAGTTATTAATTTATTTCCGTATTTTTACATTTACACATCTATTTATTTCTGTGTCCAGGTCGTAAGAGGAAAAGTATTTATGTAAATTTGCTTCTGTCTGTTTTTCAAAATTGACCAATCCTACTTCAGTAATGTTAGGACGGCCCACTTAATTTACATATTTACTTTTCCTTGCACAACATGGACACAGAAATACACAAATAAATATATGAATATATTTATTTATATATTAATTTTTATATGAATTGTTGCATTTATTTATATATATATATATATATATTTATTTATATATTTATTGATGCATTTATTTAATTATTCATTTATTTATACATTATTGTATGCATTTCTCCCAACATTTATTTCTTTATTCATTTATTTATTTATACTTTAGTCATTTTTTGTCCCTCATACACACACACATGCACGCTCCACAACAATACTACTGTGTGGTTTTTTTTAATGGTTTTTTTCTTTTCAGTAAAGCTATGGAGGTATTTACACTGTAAGATTTCATTAAAACATCCCTACATCATTTACTTACAGTTAAGGTTGAAGCTTCTATACTGCTACAATACACGGCCTGTCATTCCACTCCCACCACGCTGTTCTTTTTGAGTCAGCCTAAAGACGAAGGATGTGGGGAGCCTTGTTGCCGTAGTAACTGCCTCTCCAGGATCACGTCAGCATCCATTGGCCTCAGCAGGTTCCCATGGTGCTGACTGTTGTGTAACTGAACTTGGATATGGACGCTCCTGTTGCCATCACTTCTTCCTCGTTGTCCCGCAACCCGCGGCCGCGGCCGCGACGATGACGGCAGGGCACAGAGCAGCACGAGAAGGTGGCGAGCAGAGCTTTGCGGAAACGTGTGTTCATGAAGCAGTATATGATGGGGTTGACGCAAGCCGAGGTGTAGCACAGCAGATGGATGAAAGCGATGGGCGCCCCCGAGAGGGCGTGTTTGGCGGAGAGGTCGTCGAAAGCCCGCCAGGTGTTGGCGCAGTACAGAGGCATCCAGCAGAGGAAGAAGAGGACTACAATGACCACCAGCATGCGGATGACACGCTTCTTGGCCTCCAGCTTGGCTTCGGACGTGTTGCTGCGCGGTCTCTCGGCCTTCTTTGACCTGACTGGCGCCACCATGCTGGACATCTCCATGGAGTGCGGGGAGTGGACGGCATTAACGTAGCAACCGTCTCCATCATCACTCCCAGTAGACACGGTGGAGGTCAGGCCGTTTTTTACATCTGTAAGGTAGAAGGTCGAGCAAAAGTTAAAGAGAGGAGAGTTTCAGTGGTTTGTATCACGTTTTAAAATCTCCTGTGAGGAATATTTATCTGGTTATGATAGACAGGAACTGATGTTTAACCTCTATAGCAGTGATTCCCAAAGTTGGGGTCGGGACCCCCTGGGGGGTCGCAAGACACTGAGAAGGGGGTCGTGAGAATTCTTCCAAACATATCAAAATTTAGAATTACTTAAAATTGCATATTTTACCCATTATTGTCAAAACATATGAAAAAAAAAAAAGATCAAGAGATTAATTCTTCTACCGTTACAAAAATAATACTACAGTGTTCAGGCTGTTCTTTTGTGTCGTTCTTATTCCTGTGTTTGGATCGTGTACCCAGCTGTGCACAACGGTAAATGTTTTAACCACCTCCATGGACAGAGGGGGTCCCCAGTCTCTAGCACCTTATTTTTGGGGGTCATGGGCTGAAAAGTTTGGGAACCCCTGTCTCTATAGGACCAACAAAAGCAAACCAGACCATCAGCGAAAAACACAGATCATTTCCATACAGTATTTGTTCATGGCTGTAACCACAGGGGGGGTAGCTGTCAGGCTAAGTGAGTTGTGGGCGGCAGTAGCTCAGACCAAATGGAAGTTGGTCTGGTAGCTGGAGAGGTGCCAGATCACTTCCTGAGCACTGCCGAGGTGCCCTTGAGCAAGGCACAAATCAACTTTATGTACTCTGTTTCCTGGGATAACAAGTGATTACTGGTTGTGGTCCACAGATTTGTAAAAGCCCAAAACAACATAGAAACAGACCAAAATGATCTCATTAGTGTGCAATGGCAGTTTGGCATGTTTTGGTCTCGGTAAGTGACCCCCCCCATTTGTTTTGTTTTTCTAAATTGGCAGAAAATGATCCTTAGTTATCACAAGACAAGAAGTTTGAAGCTTGATCCAAAGACGACAAGCTTTGTTATCTCAAGGTAAGGAGGTAAACAGATCTGTTATGATGGGAAAACCAGATTTGTTATCTGGAGATGATAACCTGAAAAAATAAATTCAGATTCTTGATAAATAATCCCTCGTTATTGCCGAAGAAAGGAGTAAATGAGAACAGAAGATTGTACTCAAAAAACTACAAGGACTGAGAATCATTGCAATAGAAATAGCCGTTGATAAACACTGATCACATGATGCTGAATGACCAACACGTTGTTTTCAAAGAGAGAAACTTGTAACATTTTTAAATTACTCATATATACCGTATTCGACCTAAGTCTAAATAAATGGCCAGTGAAGCCGTACTTCAGCCAATTTCTAATAGTTACCAAATAATCCAGAGCACCACAGTGCAGAGCACACCCACCCAGGGGTCCCCAAACTTTTTTATTTCAAGGCCTCATAACTTAGCCTTTCCCTGATTGGGGCCCAGAGTCTGTATGTAACAGAAAATAACATGTGCAGGCACGACTACCGGTATTATTGTGGAGATGGATTTCATCCCAAGAGATTGGTTTGGCTGAACTTGGTGTACAAATGTAGTTTGCAGAGCTAACAGTCACCGCCTCTTGACAGATGAGACAAAGAGCCTTTTTTTGGCATTGAACAAAAAAGAAATCATTAGTCCACTGTTGGTTAAATACCCTGAATTCTGAATCAAATTTTCCATTCCCTAACCTTTTTGCATTTTTTTCAGGTCAAATGTCACGTTCTGTGCGTGTGTGAAAGAGTTTAGAATGATAAAAGTTCACAGCTAAAGAACATTTTATTTGAAATGCTAAACTTTTATAGGCCTATGACAAAAAAATATAGGCCGTAGTTTGGGGACCCCTGCATTAACCCAATGATAGGCTTTGTTTAGAGTGAGTGCTCTTTAAAGTGAAGCAGCACATCTGAACAGAAAACGGAGTGAATACTAATCTACTGATCGTCAATCAGGGGATTTTTTTTAATTAAACAGAAAAAAAAATAGTCCACTTTTCATCCACAAAATAAACAGTAGAAAGAGCCCTAAGGCTCGATACAGCATATCGAGGAAAGATATAAAGGTATACAGAATTTGCCAACCTGGAAATACAACACATTTGCACAATGGTTATCAAAGAGGTTACTTTTTTTATCTGTCTTAATTTGACATTTTTTTCACCCCGTGCTCTGTGTAATCTCTCTTTTAGACAAGCTTTTCTCTCTGAGAGCAAACAGATGGTGATGCCCAGGACTGCAAACTGCCAGCCAATCCTGTCCTCTAATGGAGCATCAGCAAACACATTATGTACTGCTGTCGTACCCAGACACTCTCACATGGTCACAAAAGGTTATGTTTCACTTAACCTGCACACATTACAATGATTGTAGCATTAATGAAAATGTCTTCTTTTTTAATAAAAGTCCTCTTCATTTGCATAAATCATGCAAAAACCATTAGAGCCTCCCTCACGGGTATGGACAGAGTATGACTTTTATCGAGAATTACATTTTGACTAACAATTAAATGACACTACCATCAAACATTGAACTCAGCCTCAAGAGAATATTTTTTTTCTACTTATGTTATTTCCACACAATCAGAATAACAAACCACAAATGTCAATGACAAAATTAAGAAGAAAAAAAAAGCAAAGTCCGGCTTGTTTTATTTGTTAAGTTCAGTTTCATCAGTGATTTAAGTTTAAGCAGTGAGTACAGTATGTTATTCTTCTTTTCTCTAGTCCCTCAATTAAACAACTTTTATACACGAGGGGAGGAGTCAGCCGGCCGTCCTGGCGATGTAAACAAAGTGAAGATAGGACTCTGAAAACTCTGAAAACATCACAGACAGTGGGACTCGGGTGTTACACCCATTGTAGACAGTCATGACTCACAGAGTTATTTTCAGAGGAGATACTTGATTTCTACATTTAAGTATGAAATTAGCATGCTAACACAACAATGCAGCGCCAGTTGTTTTGGTTTCATGCTGGTGCTCAAGGGCGACATCTGCTGGATCAAAACATCACATATAAAACCTTTAAGATGCATGATAATTTTAGTGAAAGGTCAGAGTGTCACCCAAAGGCCTCACCAGTCGAGTCTTTCTTGTGTCCCATCTCAAACTGGATGCCTCTGTAGAGTTCTCTGGAGATGAGTCCATAGGCCACGATCATCACGACCCCTGGGATAGCAAACAGCACGAGCAGTAGCAAAATGTACCTTAAAGACACAAGAGAGAGATAATAAATGTAATGTCCATGTAGAAAAACAAAAGGTGAAGGCAGTCGTCTAGTTCCACTCTGTGTACACATTTTCTAATTTCCTTTGTTAAAAATAATACAGTAAATAGTATTTCATTAAAAAAAAAAAACATTAATATCTCAATTTACTATTTCATTGAGCAATATTTTCTGAGGATACTTCCACAGTCCTCGAGGACTCTTCAAACAATATCATACCATATCTTACCTGCTTCAACACTTGGAATTTGTGGAGGGAACTAACGGGTCCACAGTAACAACATCACAGTGCTGATTTTTAAAAAGTAAAAAGTTCAAGCTTATAAAATTCTAATTTTTTTATTAAAGGTCAGATTGATCGATTCTGATGCATTCCAGACGCTGATCAGCATGTGCAAAACAACCTCGAGCAGACGTGTCACTCATGTTGACACTTTTAATCTTGAATGGATAATAGGGATGAATAAATAACATTCAGATTATCGGCAATGTGGACAAGAATGTCGCAACACTTCTCTTTCCAAAGTCTGGCCTTCACAGGTCCTTCATTTCTAAAGTAGAATCTCTTAAAAGAAGTTTTTTCATAGATTACATTTTATTATACCTCAGTTAATTCCGACCAAGCAATCTGATTGGACAAGTGGCTTTCCATGAGTGACGATATAGGAGATCATCACTGGGACTTTTTACTATATGTATCACTCCTCCTAAGCCAGGAATCCAGAATGCTTTAAACTGACATTTACAGCATTCAGCATTCATCGATCGCTATTAACACACAATTAAAGGTTCATACCACAAAGTAACTGTTCTGTGGTAACCATGGACACAAACAGAGTAGCAAGAGTGCAATGGAATAACAGGGATACATAACTTTGGTTACAGCAGCAAGGGCCACATTCATGTAATTCTCACAGCCAGAGGGCTAGATTGTAGGATACTCTTAGGTGGATTCATAATTCTACCA